AGGTTTAGCCTATTGTCAGCGATGGAGTCCAAACAGATGCAAGGCTTAGCCTGCTGCTCTAACACCCCTGAATTCCAGAGGGTCACTTGCTGAGTGGCCAAAGAGTGGTTGTGGACACTGATGTCTTAATTGTCGCACACAGCCAGTCATCTTATTAAGCTGTGGTGGGGAAACACTCTACAGGGGAGCCAACCAAAATAAGGGCTGAACATTTCTTGACTCTCTTGAATGAAGATTCCAAGTGGGGGCTTCATTCTGTAGCCACCACCATCCTGTAGCCTGGTTGTGGACACTGATGTCTTAATTGTCGCACACAGCAGTCCTCTTATTAAGCTATGTGGTGGAAAACATCTCCTACAGGGACCAACCAAATAAGGGCTGAACATTTCTTGACTCTCTTGAATGAAGATTCAACAAGTGGGGCTTCATTCCTGTAGCCACCACCATCCCTGTAGCCATCTCACAACCACCCTGCTGCCACCAGTCATAAACTGACCCTTGCTTCCCTGGTACTTCCTGCTCTGAAAGTCAGCAGGAGAGAGCTTTGGAAAAATCACTGGTAGTGGTTGCGACAGCAGGAACTTATTGCCATGGCTTGTTTTTTCTAAAGGTTTTGTTGGTGGGAGTGAGTCTCTCTGGATTTCTTACCCTCTTAGGATTTTTGTATCAGCCAGAACAACAGGCCAGAAGCCGATATCGTGATCATCTTGGCTGATGCATGGATGGGGTGACCGGGAGCAAACTGGGCAGACAAAGGACACTGCCAACCTTGATAAGATGGCTTCAGAAGAATGAGGTGAGTCTCGGGATCCCAGTCAGCATCTCTCTTGATGTCTCACCCAGTTCTTGTGGGACAGGGGGCAGTGTAAAGCACATAAAGTGTAAAATTGGGTGGGTCCATGTTGACTTCACTACTTTATTTGTTTTGAAGCCATTACATCATCAGCAGAGACATGTGACCCTGCGATTCAGAGCTTTTGAGTCAAAGGGGAGGCCTGGAGTCAAAGGGGAGGCCTGTGGATTCAAGGGAGAGAAGATAGCGCATTGAAGAACAAGCTGGTAGCCATGGGGGCACACTGCTTATTGTGAACAGACATGCTCAACATTTACCGGTGCACAGCTCCAGGACTGCAAAAGGGACACAGGTGTGCATCTGATGGGCAGTGCTCCTAGAACAGCCATAGCTGACTTTTGTTCAAACACCTAGCTTCTTTCCCACATAGATGGAAAGCAAGCACCATGTTTTTATTTCTGTCTTTGTTTTTTTCCCCCTTTTGTGTTGCTTTGAGAGAGAGTTTCACTATGTAGCCCGGCTATCCTGGAACTCTTCTATTTTTTATTTTTTTGGCAGTACCTGGTTTTGAACTCAGGGCCTTGCCATTGCTAGCCAGGTGCTTGCTCTACCACTGAGCCATGTCTCTAGCTGGTCTGAGCTCTTGATTCCTCTTGCCTTGGCTTCCTATGCTGGGATTACAGGTATGTACCACCATACTTGCCTGACTTTTGTGTCCCTCTGACCACTTTGGGCCAATGTTGAGTGGATTGGTCAGCATGGATCCCATCTGCATTGTGTTAAGTGCTCCAATTTGGTCAGTGGGAATTGGTCCAGCTGGCTGCTCAGGTGGTACTTGGGGCATCTCTACAGGGTTCCAGCCATTTGAATCCTCCAGCTCGGATCTTTTCCCCTGAGACAGACACCCATGGGGGAGTCCCTGCATCCAGTCTCACCTTCTCTAGCTTCCTCCTCACCTCAGCCAAGGTAAATTTTCTTGAGTCACTCCTCGGCTTTCAATCTTTCAGAAGCGTTTTGCAACTCAAAGGATAAAACCCAATTCCATACAAAGACTGTTTCTTTCACCCGCCTGTGTCCCATCCCCCTGCTGTCTTCACTGTTGTTCTCCCTCCTCCCTGGGTGGACCTCACTCACTTGCCTGGGTGGTGAGCTCTTCCTATGCACTGTCCACTTCCTGTTTCATGAGGTTACTGCTCGCCAGTTGAGTCTCAGTCCCCTGGGGTTTCTCAGGACAGGTGTCTGGACAGATGCCTAAGATGTGCTGTGCAAGGTGCCCTGCACCTTTGACCATTTTACATTGACCACCTGTGTTGGGTTAAAGAGCAACCCCCCAATTCATGTTCCCATCTTGAACCTCAGATTGTGACCTGATTTGAAATAGGATCTTCACAATGTTGACTAGTGAAGGATCTCGGTGATACCATTGAGTTTAGGTGGAACCTGAGTCCAACAAACAGGTGTCCTTAAAGAAGACAGAATACAGAAGCACAAAGGGAGAATAGGTAATGAAGGTGAGGTCAAAGATGATATGTGTCTAGACCAAGGACTGCCACAACCACCAGAAACTAGGAAAGAGACAAGAAACAATTCCCCCCCCCCCCTCCCCCGCCCACACTGAGCTCCCAGAAGGAACTGACCCAGCTCACATTTTCATTTCAGACTTTTGGCCTCCTGTGCTGTTGTTTCCAGTCACACTTAGTTGTAATCTGTCGTAGAGGCAGCAGCAAACTCACGTACATCTCTTCTTGCTCTGGCTTCAATAAGAAGTGCCCCGTCTGTCCTCTGTCCCTCTATTCCCAGCAGAAACTCAGGGCCTCCCACTTAGGGGCCACTTAATAAATATCTGTTCATCAATAAATAGACTTTAGAGCCAGCATGATGGATTACAACTGTAATCCCAGCACCTGAGGGGATTGCAAATTTAAGGCCCGTTGAAACTACATAGTAAGACTATGTCAAAAAAAGAAAAAAAACCCTGCACATTGGTGGCTCACACTGTAATCTTAGCTGGTCAGGAGGATCGTTATTCGAAGCTGGCCCCAGGCAAATAGTTCATGAGACCCTATCTTGAAAATACCCAGCACAGGGCTTGTGGAGTGGCTTAAGTGGTAGAATGCCTGTCTAGCAAGCGTGGAGGCCCTGAGTTCAAAACCTCCAGTACCACCAAAAAAAATAAATAAATAAAAGTAAGTGTGTGTGTGTGTGGTGCGTTAGAAGCTCAAATGCCCTGAAATGTCATCTCAAATTTTGCAGGTGGAAGTTGTCTCTGGGGAAAGAGTTAATCTGGACATTGCACTTATCAAACTCAAAAAGACCCCGGTTACCAGATGCTTAAGACCTGCTTTGTTTTTTGGTTTTTTTGGTCTAATTTTTATATTTTTTTTTATTATTCATATGTGCATACAGGCTTGGGTCATTTCTCCCCCTGCCACCCCATCCGCCCCCTCCCTCTCCCCCCACCCCCTCAATACCCAGCAGAAAAACTATTTTTGCCCTTATTTCAATTTTGTTGTAGAGAGAGTATAAGCAATAATAGGAAGGAACAAGGGTTTTTGCTGGTTGATAAGGATAGCTATACGGGGGCATTGACTCACATTGATTTCCTGTGCGTGTGTGTTACCTTCTAGGTTAATTCTTTTTGATCTAACCTTTCTCTAGTCCCCCCACCCCCTCAATACCCGCAGGAACTATTTTTGCCCTATTTCTATTTTGTTGTAGAGGAGTATAAGCATAATAGGAAGGAACAAGGTTTTGTGGTTGAGACAAGGATAGCTATACGGGCCATTGACTCACTTGATTTCCTGTGCGTGTGTGTTACCTTCTAGGTTAATTCTTTTTGATCTAACCTTTCTCTAGTCCCTGTTCCCCTTTTCCTTTGGCCTCAGTTGCTTTAAGGTATCTGCTTTAGTTTCTCTGCCTTAAGGCAACAAATGCTAGCTAGTTTTTTAGGTGTCTTACCATCCTCACCCTCCCTTGTGTGCTCTTGCTTTTATCATGTGCTCATGTCCATTCCCCCTTGTTGTGTTGCCCTTGATCTAATGTACATATGAGGAGAACATACATTTTTGGTTAAGCCTGCTTTGTGTCTGTAGGTCATGGGGAGCATCAGGCCCATTATTTAAACTGAGTTTGGGGGGCTGAGAGGTTTTCCCCCTAAGCTGCCCACCATTCTCACCCTGAGTAGAAGGGTGTCTTGGGGGCCAGGTGCACAAACCCAGTTTGGGGAGCTCTCCTATTTTTTCTCTGCTTTGAACGTTTTCTGTGCATCTGAGCCTGAGACAGTGGCCAGGTGGCCAGCCCTCTGCCTGAGGTCTCAGCTTTGCTGGGCTTTGTTGACAGGGAAAGCCGGATTCTGTGAGGCCAGTTGATTCATTACTGGTTTCTCCCCTGCTACTCAAGGCTGATGGAACCATGACTTTCAGATATGAACTCTAATGCCAAAATAGGGTCTGGGCGTGAACTTGAGAAAGTACCTTTCCACTGTCTCCTTTTATTAGAGTATGATTTCCCAGGATTGCTGAACAAATCACTACCAACTAGGTGACTTATCCTTCAAGTCAAAAGCGTTGTCGTGGGGTGGTTCTTTCTGGGAGATTGGAGGTGAAATCTTTCCACCTCTCCTGGCTTCTGTGCCTGCTGGCATTCCTTGCTTACAGACCCACCTCTACCTTGTTATTACAGGAATTTTCCTTACCTGCCTGTGTCCAAACTCATCGTTTTCTAAACCCTATCTAGTGTGACTCATCTTAACTTGGTGGCATCTGCAAAGACCCTCTTTCCAAATAAGGTCACATTTGCAGATCCTGAGTTTGTATGAACTCAAAGCGACAAAGTTCAACCCACACAATTACATGTCTTTATGCCTCAGCTCCTAATTAGTCTGTAAGTAGCAGGTGCTCAATAAACATTTGCTCCCCTGAACTTAATCATGCTTCAGCTGACGGATCTGGGGCCAGAGGACTTGAGTTCAAATCCTGTTCTGTGTGACTCTGGAGCTTTGCTTTGTCCTTCTGTACACAGAACGTGATAGCACCCGCTCATAGGATGTTCATGAGGATAAATTAAGTGCTCCATGCAAGCAACTAGCACAGAGTTGGCATACAGTAGACGTGGATCTGGTTAGTTATGGCAGTTTTTATTGTATTGAAATATGTCCATTTGGATTGGTACTCTGCATGATTGAAAGATCTAAATGACAATCATGGAGGGATGTGAGAGATCCAGAGATAAATGTGTTTTGGAATTTCTTGTTGCTGTTTGAAAGATTTCTGTGCTTCCACAGAGAAGAGGCAACCTGAGAATGTTATAAACACTTCAGTCATCACAAAGTTTGATGCAAACATCATGAGGCTTAGCAGCAGGGACATGTGTGTGAGGCAATTGCAGACACCTGCGATCTGCTCCACCAGCTCCACCTTCATCTATGAATCCCTCCTTGTGGCCCCTAATTATTTTATTTCTGTTTCATGAACACACCCCTTTCCTGCCCCAGGACTTTCGCACTAGCCTTTCCCTCTTCCTGGCAAGATCTTCCCTTAGGCTTTGAGTAGCTGGTCCTTTCTCATCCTTCTGGTCTCCACTTGGGTATCATGTCCTTGGAGAGGCCTTTCCTGCCATGCTCGCTACACTGCCACTGTCCCCTTGCATATCTGTCACCCTTTTTCCTGTTTAACTTCCATGACCTGTATCACCTTATTTGCTTCTCTATCACACTGGAGGAGTGACAGCTCCTAGAGGCTTGACGTCATTTGTCTTATTTCTGCCTCCAGCCTGAAACAAAACCTGGCATACAGCAGCATGTGTCAGTAATATTTGGATTTCTGGTCTAACCTGGGTAGGCACAGATGAGTTACCCATGGATGTGCTCCTTGCTGGCTCTGCGACACTGGACTAGTTACCTAACCTCTCTGGGTCCTCATCTGTACCAGCAGATAATGATGAATGCCCCCAGTGCTCTTATGAGGAGGAAGTGAGGTAAGTCGTGAAGGTGACCCCCAGGTGTC